TCTCTAACCTGTATTACTGATAGTTTGCTTTCTGTAAAGATGTGACTTGCATTTTTTCCTATTGTCACACTTCCCCATTGACTAAGTGACATTGAATGGGGCTCATAAGTATTGCAGTGACTTTAGATTTTGTATTTACAAGCAAGAAATTACAGGTTGGGTGAGATACTTGTGCAGCAAGGGAAGTAGTAGGTTAGAACAAGTGTGYTTAGCAGCCAAGTTGCTGGATTTGAATCCTTGTTTATCTTCTTGTTAATTTTGTAATCTTAGACAATTTACCTCTTTATATTTCAGATTTCTTGATGATGAAATGGGATAATAATACCTACCATATAGGGCYGCTGTGAGGATTAAATGAATTAATACACGTAACTTGCTTGGATCAGGGCTTGGGATGGTAGGCACTCAGTAAATGATTTCCAGTTCTCATCATGATTACCATTATCCTCACTAATTCTGTAAACTGTGCTCCTTGCTGAAGATCTGCAGATGTATGTACTTGATTTTGTTGCACTCCCTTAATTAGACACAAGTTTCATTGCTTTTAACAATAGTTGTTTAAAAATTGTGGTTTGAGAATGTGGGCTGTTTCCCATCTCTTTCTGTTTTTTTTTTTTTTTTTAATATTTATTTATTTAGTTAGTTAGTTCTCGGCGGACACAACATCTTTGTTGGTATGTGGTGCTGAGGATCGAACCCGGGCCACACGCATGCCAGGCGAGCGCGCTACCGCTTGAGCCACATCCCCAGCCCCTCTTTCTGTTTTTATTTCTATTTTTTTCCCCCTGGTTTTAGGGAAAAGAGTATGACAGAAATGCCTTTGTAAGTCATCATTAACTAGAAGCATGTAATCCCAAAAGCACCAATTCAATAGCAGCTTTTTTCCACAGAATGCTTGCAGATTATTTTTTATAGACTTATTAAGAATTTTCTTCATTTCTGTATCATATGTACTCAAGTCTTGTCCTGACTGCCTGTATAATAGTATCTAACATAATAAAATAAATTTTTTTTAAACATTTTAAAACTAATACTTGGTGGGGCTTGGGTTGTGGCTTAATGTTTGTGTATTCGCCTAATACACATGATGCACTGGGTTCGATCCTCAGCATCACATAAAAATGAAATAAAGATTGTGTGTCCACCTACAACTAAAAAATAAATATTAAAAAAACAACTAATACTTTATTAATTATTTCACTTTGGCAAAGGTGCTGTTTTGGGCTATATTGCGAGGTGGAAACTGACAAACGATTGAATTAAGTTGACGTCAATGCTAAACTTTTCACATGGTGCTAAAATCCTATTATACAATTATAGGATGGCCTCAATGTGTGTTCAAAATGCTTGGGAGTTTCAGTTGTGTGGTGAGATGCCAAGAAAACTACCAAGAATTTAGATGTAGTAATTTAATTATTTGGCAGGATCCAGTTCTGTGGTTCTGGGGCTGGACCCTGGGCTGGATCCAGTTCTGGAAACCATATTTTAAAAAGCACTGACATATCACACTGTGTCCAGAGGAGGGTCACCAGGATGGTGAGGACATCTGAAACAATGCTTCTTCAAGAAATGCGTTGAGCTGGCCATGATGGTGCATGCCTGTATTCCCAGCTAGCCAGAGGACTACCTTTGCAATTTAGTGGGACCCTGTCTCAGAAGAAAAATATTAAAAGGGCCAAGGGTGTAGCTCAGGGGTTGAGCCCTTGCCTAGCATGTCTTAGGCCCTGGGTTCAATTCCCAGTACTGCAAAACAAAAATAAAAAATGGGTTGAAAGGGGTGGAGATGTTTAACCTGGAGGTAAAAAGGTCTGGGCAAGGGCAGTTGGGAGATATAATAGCAATAGTAACAAAATGAAAATAAAAGAAGCTAAAATTTATTGAGTATGACTATCGGCCAGATACTAAGACCCATCCAAATATTTATTATCTTATTTAATGTTCATAACAATCGAGTGAGGTAGGAATAATAATTATTCCATTTTATAAATAGGGAAATTGAAGCTCCATAAATTTAATATTTTTGAGGTTACTAAATTACTAAGAAAGTCATGATTTTTCTTATTATGAAGTCTTGAGTTCTTAGATTCTGAATTATCTGTCTCTTCTGATTGACATCTGCACTTTTTTAATTAATTTCTTACATACATGACAATAGTAGAATGCATTACATTCATAATTATCCATTCACTGCACAATTTTTCGTAAATCTGCATGTTTTTAAAAGGACTTATATGTGGAAATGGGGTCCCAGAAATTAAAACTAGGACAGATAATTGGCAGCTCCTCAGAAATAGAGTCTTAAATCAGTATAAAGAATTGTTTTCTAGATTGGAGGCCAGTGGATTACCCAGTATTGGTTACATTCAGGCATGTACTGAGTTATTGCTTGGTGGGTGTTCGTGAGGAGTTGTTAAGATTGGAATAGGGTTGGGGTGGATTATGTGAACTTTAAAATGCCTTTCACTTCTGAGATTTGGGGATTCTACGTATGTTTTCCTGTCAGGTATACTTTTTTTTTTWAAATGTTTTAACTGTGTTAAAAATACAGATTCTATGAAATGTACCATCTTAATCATTTTTAAGTTCAATATTAAGTATATTTGTATTATTGTGCATCCAATTTTTAGAACTTTTCTGTCTTGCAACACTGAAACTCTGTGTCCACTAAAAAACAACCCCTAGTTTCTTCCAGAAAACCACTATTCTATTTTCTGGAATTTTGACTACTCTAGATACCTCATGTAAGTAGAGTCCCTGCATTTGTTTTCTCATCCTGGCTCTTTTCACTTAGCATAATGTCCTCAAGGTTCACCCATGTTGTTGCAAGTATCAGCATTTTCTTTCCCTTTTAAAGGTTAAATAATAATCCATGGCATGTATGTATGTGTGTACACATAACACCAGATTTCACTTATCATATCAGGTGTATTTTAGTTAGAAACAAAACAAATGACCACTTTAAAAAGTATTAGAGTCAATATTATTGTAACAACTCATGCCTCTGCAAAATATTATAAATAGAATTACCTGGGATGGATGAGGAATAGCGTGTACTACTCATTTAAAAAAAATGAGATGTTTCATATAGCGGAAGTAAATATCACAGGAATCTATCCTGAACCTGTGCTGACCCTTTGGCCTGTCCTGGAAGGCCAAATAAGATTTTGAATAAGGTTCCTAATAATTAGTTTATCTTCTTTTAATTGTAAAAATCAAATCCAATCCTTTTTGGATAAAATGAATAGCTTTGAAAATGAAAATAAAAGAGAAATTTCTGGTTATTAGGATGCCATTATATTCAGTATTGTCTTTTTTTWAAAAAAATATTTAATGTGATAAAAATATTTTGCAGAGTATACATTTTCTTAGTCAAACATTTATTGTTTTCTGTATACCAAATACTAAACTTTACACTGAAGGTTTTTCTCTCCACATCTGGTCATAGAGAGAAAGTATTTTATCGCTTCATTTCATGTGTTGAGCAAACTGAAACATAATGTATGAAACGACATCACCAAGACCACAGGGACCCAGAGGCAGAGATTAGCATCAAGGATTCTTTCTCCCTGACATTAGCGGACTTACGTTTTCTCGTTTATATTTCTTCTGAACAAAATATTTAATGGTAGAGTTTACATTACTAACAGCTTTCCAGGTTATTTCCCCCAAAGAAACTTTTTATTGATTATGGCATGAAATAAAGGTATGAAATCATTCAGTTGTGGGCAATGAGGGCCAGGAGTAGGCTCGGGATATGTGCCAAGTCCTCCTGAAATTTCTGTCTCTCAGCTGCCTCAAGTCAACACAGATTCTAAATAAAAACAGGGAGCTTGCTGTGCAGACCAGCTTGCAGACCAGTCTTCTACTTCTACTTCCTGCCAGATTGCCACCTCTCCCAGGACACTTCTCAGAATGGCAGTTGTAGAGGTAAACACTGTTTACTGAGAGGGCAGTCCTGAGGAGTGAGCTCCAGTAACACATCTCCAGATGACATTTAATGTTCAGTTTTCTGAGTTGTCTCCATAGAGACAGTTGGGAAGTCATGAATATGGGGCTGTGAGAAGCGGCGTACGGAGAAGAAGCGTTCTGTTCTGTTCTGTTACCAGGAAAGATGAAGACATCACAGATCTGAGAAAGTCTAAGTGAATAATGCATGTTGGGTTTATGGAAAGTGGCTATATGGGCCATGGTCTGGTCTTTTTTTTATTAGCAAGACTCAAACAAATTTAGAAAACTTTTTATTGAACTAAAGGTATTTGAAATTTGCCAATTTTTACAAATTTATTTTCTTTTAAAAATTTAATTTTTAATTGACATGTAGTGATTGTGCATATTAATAGTATATAGCATGAGATTTTACTACTTGYGTACAATGTGTAGTGATCAGATCAGGGTAATTGGGCATATCTATCACCTCAAACTTTTATCATTACTTTGTGTTGGGAGCATTCAAAATCCTCTCTACTTGCTTTCTGAAATGTCCAATTAATTGTTGTCAACTACAGCTACCTATTGTGCTATAGAGCATGAGAAGTCATCTCTCCTACCCATCAGCCATCCTCTCTCCAGCCCTCCCTTCCCCTCACTCTTCCCAGGCTCAGGTGGCCACTGTTGTATTCCCTACTTTTTTTAGATCAACTTTTTAGTTTCACATGTAAGTGAAAACAAGTAGTATTTGTCATCCTGTGCCTGACTTATTTCACTTAACATCATGTCCTCTAGTTTCATCATGTTGCTGAATCCTTTTCCATTTTCTTGACCTGATGAAGGCAATAATTCTAGAGTACTATGCTTTTCTTCCCCTCTTACCTTGCCACCACCCTTTTGCTGGCATCTAATTTTACAGATCACCACCAGAATCCAAACTTGATGTAAATCTAGACTTGTGTACGTGTGTGTGTGTGTGTGTGTATTTTTCCCCAGGTGTTTACAGGTGTATATATTTGGTGAAGTTTCTCCTTCCTAGTTCTCTTTGAYTCACTGTCCTTCTGTCTTTTCAGGGAAGAAGAGCCCAGACCTAGGGGAATACGATCCCCTTACTCAGGCCGACAGTGATGAGAGCGAAGATGATCTTGTACTTAACTTGCAGCAGAAGAATGGAGGGGTCAAAAATGGGAAGAGTCCTCTGGGAGAAGCACCAGAGCCTGACTCAGATGCTGAGGTTGCAGGGGCTGCCAAGCCACATCTTTCAGAAGTCACCACAGAAGGGTACCCCTCGGAGCCTCTGGGGGGCCTGGAGCAGAAGGCGACCTCTTCCCTTGTGTCCTACATACGCACATCTGTCTTCCTGCTAACCTTGGTGATCTCAATGATCTTGGTGCTCCTCTGTGCTTTCCTGATCCCCTGTCCCCCCAGAGACCTGCACAGCACTTGGAGCCGCCACTTGGGCTCACAAGCAGGTAAGTTGTGGGGTTTTCAGCTTTAGTTTGTAACATTTCATCATATGTCGGATTACATTGAGTATTTTTCCAAATCTTAAAAAATTTGTGTCATGTAGCATTTTTCTCCCTGTGTGTGGAGATGGTTAGGAGGTTAAGATTTGAAATAAAACAATAGGGGGATTTCTACACCTCTAGACAGACACCTTTATTGTATTGGGTAYTGGTCATAATTAGACACAGAGAGGACAGGACATTGGTTTGCTGGACTCCTGCCTTGGAGCCAGCCCTKTGTATGGGAGGGTGGGGGTAGGGGTAGGGGGATGCAAAACTGTAGAAAGGGCTGTTTACAGAGAAAAGTAAAGCTCAAGACCTAGCTAGACAAGGCCCTGGTGCTCTTACAGGACTGGGGATTGTATCTCCACTGAGCAGTCTTGTCTCCTGTGAATGGGTGCTGCTRTTCCCAGCCTTCCCGTGTCATTTTGACCTAGAAATGCTTCATCTCTGCCACTTTTCTGATTCCATTTGAATTAGCTTCTGATGGATTCTCTGTTCTCATCTTTTGTTCTCTAAAGGCAAATTTAATTTTCATATGTGGTATTTATACAGTAAAGCCTGGTAACGAGTTTTTGGTGTATCCACTGCCCAGCTCCAGAAATAGAACATTTTTGAGACCTCTGCAGCCTCCCATGTGTTCCTCCTGATCATGTCCCCCTCTGCCCACCACAAGGTTCTGCTCTCCTGAATTTTGTGTTGATTTTTTTTTTCTTGATCTTTCTTTAAAGTTTTGTCACATGGACATGTACCCCTAAATGATATATTCATTAATTCTGCCTCCTTTTGAATTTTACATAAATGTAATTATRTCATTTTCTGTGATTTGCTTTTTTGTTCAACTTAATTTTATGAAAAAAGATTTTTAGTTAATCCATATTAATTTATGTGGCTGGAGTTTATTCATTTTTACTACTGTCTGGTTTTCCATGATATGAATATTCCATGATTTTAAAAATCCATTTTCCTGTTGATGAACATTTAAGTGGTTTCTAGTCTTTATTTACTATTTTTTGAATAACGAATGCTGCTAAGAACCTTTCTGTACCTGTCTCCTGATGCAATGTATAAGAACTTCTCTAGGCACAAACCTAGGAATGAAATTGCTGGGTCATAGGGTGTGTGCATGTTCATTCTTAGTAGTTTATGTTAGATTATCTTCCAAAGTGGTTGTATCAATTTAGGCTTCCACTTACAGCATGAGTTCTTTCCAAATTTGGCGGGCCTCCTCTGCCTCCACACTGTTGGGTGGGGGGCTAGGGGGGGCTCCTGTCTTGCAACTGCAGGGTGGGGATGAAGTACAGGCTCCCCACTGGCCTCTGCTGACACCCTCTGGTGGGAAAGAGGGGACAGCTGCCTCACTAATGCTGGGTGGGGTAGAACTGTTGGCTTTCCTTGTGTGTGGAGGGCCTTGGTACTGCTAGGTGGGGGTGACAGTGCTGCTCCCACCTGGTCTGTTGTGCCATGACCCTGGTGGCAGGGGAGGGGTGCTACCCTGGTGTCAGCTTGTGTAGGCTCCCCAGTCAGTCTTTGTTGTGTGTGCTGCTTGGTTGGATTAGAGCTTTCCTGCCATGCTAGGCTGCACCTTTCCTGGGCCTTTGGCCAGGGAAATCAGCTTTTCTTGGGGCTTCTTTGTACTTTGGGCATTTCTGGGTTACTGATGACTTCTGCAGCACCCTGTCTGGTATATATGAGGCCAGGAAAACCCAGAGGACTCATCACGTTTTCACTCTGTGGGTCTCGCAGTCTCTAGCCCATCTGCCTAATCTCTCCACCTTTCTGGGTGTTCTTATGTTTGTTTTGTGCATAATGCCCAGGGCTTTGAGATAGACTTTTTGGGGTGGGGCTGGGRAGTAGGAGAGGCATGTCTACACCATCTAGTCTGGGAACTGGAAGTGTGCTTGGTTTCTGTGGACGTGCTGGCAGTAGAGAACTGGGTTGTGGCAACATTCTCAGGACCTCTTTGTTTTTATGTGCACATCAGGTGGGGACCTGTCTCCACTGGAAYTGGCTGATGTGAATGGAGATGGCCTGCGGGATGTGCTTCTCTCCTTTGTAACATCAAGGAATGGGAGTGCAGCAGGTAAGTGATGTGGTTTTCCAAGCTGCCTCAGGGTTGCTGTCAGCCAGCCMAAAAGCAGCAGCTGTATCCAAGGGGCACTGCAGAAGGGTTTCTGTAGGGAAGAGAAAGCTACCACGGATCTGTCATACATGATAAGCCGAGTCAGTAGTTCCCCATGTAAATGAAGTTCAGTTCCAGAAATCAGAGAGAGTTACAGATGTAAGGAGCTATTCATTGTCATCCAGGTCAGTGAAGAAACTAATGCAGAGAGGAAGTGACTTGTCCAGACACCTGCAGTGACACTGTTAGTACTTAGGTTTCTCTCAGTTTCCTCCCAGTGAGTTTTCCATTGTCTCTTTTTTTATAGGGAGAGGGGTACCTAGGGGGGACTGAGGCTGAGGCTGACCTTGAACTTGTGATCCTTGTGCCTTGGCCTGCATCACCCTTTTGTGAATGAGGAAACAGATATAGTGAACTTAAGGAACTTAGCCAAAGTCCAACAGCTGGTAAATGGCAGAGATGGAATTCAGATCCAAGAGTCAGACTCTGGAGTTCATATCCTCAACCCTCACGTCGAGCACTTGTGCCCAACTCTGTGCCACTGACAGGGAGGAATTGAGTTTTTATTTGTTGGTTCACTTGTTTATTCATTCATGCAATGGTATTGGATGCTGACGGTGTGGGGCACATGCTGTGTACCCTCTCCAGAGCTGTGTTGGTTAGAACTAAACAAGAGGAGCCCACTCTGTGCTTCAGGGAACCATGATTCAATGGGGAACGGGTAACTCATCATCATCCAGAGAAACAAACGAACAAACAAAAAACCAGCCATTGAATGGATATGGAGTCTGTAGGGCCCTTACCTAGGAAGAACAGCACAGGATATTAACCATAGCATCTGAGGATCTCAGAAATCTAGAACTGACACATTTCACCTCTGTTTGTCCTGTATATCTGTTTCTGAGAATGAGATCTGAAACAGCAAGCCAAAGTTTGTCATTTGTTTTTAGGTCACATGTTTGATTAGTAATACTGAGGAATAGGTAGAATGAAGCTCAAAACTTAGCTTTCTTTATCTTAGTTGTTGCTGTAAGTGGAAAGTGTGTGAGATGAGGCAAGCTGTCYCTGTTCTGAAAGTGAAAGTACAACTGGCAAGAGGGTCATTAAGTTACATAATGGCTTATTTACTAGCGAGGGGAGCTGCTCTAGTTCCCTGCCAGCTATCCTAGGACCTAGGTTTTTGACTCTTCCCATGTATTATTCTCTCCTGCCCAAGACCAGATCAGCTGCTTCATGGAAACATTTTTTTTCTGCTCTCAGGGAGCATTTGCTACTGAGATTAGGATTCAAGTATTTTTCCTCCTACTTTTCATGTATCCTAGATCAGCCTCACATTTCTGAACATATACCTTCTCTTTTCTTCCTGTTTTTTTTTTTTTTTTTGTTGTTGTTGTTCTCAAGAACCATCTTTCCATATTCTGGATTTTGCTCCTGTCTTTTGTTCAGCAAACAATTGGTTGCTATGTGTACCAGGCACTTTGCAAGGTGCTGAGGATATATAAACAGTCCTTGTCCTTAAGGATGTCACTATTTAGTGGTGGCCAAGGTAGCAGATAGATAAATGGATATGTTGGCAAAGCCGAAAAAGTGGACATGCAGGGAGGCAGCACAGAGGAGGCCAGTGTCTTATGAGCAGAGAGGACAGGTACTCTGAGGGTCAGAAATATGGGAGGGAGCTAAACACACTAGTGTGAGCTTCTGCCTTAGCACCCTTCACTTTTGGTGTTCAGKCCTTCTGCTCATCTCTACCTCTTATCTCTCCTGCCTCCTTTCCTTTYTTATCACCCTTGTGTGCTTTTAGGTAGCTCCAGATCAACTGCTAATCTCGTGTGCCTTTCGGGAATGAATGGCAGCACACTGTGGTCCAGTCCCCTCCCAGAAGAGGCCCAAGATATCACATGTTTGGATCTCATGCCAGGAAGTGTGGCTGAAATCATCTGCCTTGTGACAGGGACACGCAAGATGCTCAGTGCATTCAATGCAACATCAGGTAAAGATCGTTTGCCCCCAAAGTCTTTGTTCCAGTGAGCCATGATTTTGTGTTAGAACAATCTGGTAGAGAAGGGACTTTTTTACCCTGACAGAGTGGAAAGTTTGATTTGCTGCTCTGGAAGTGGTTATTAAGGGAATAAGATAAGAAGTCTGGGCAGGTTGAGTAAATAGATCCATGTTTCAACCCGTTTGGGGTAAGATGGGGTAAACCCAGTTACCTAGACAGAAACTGCCCCGAGGCCTCTGGTTTGTAAATAGTCTCCCTGCTCAATGGTTGTCTTTGTAAAAAGACAAATGAGGTGGTCCCTTCCTATTTGATACACATGGGGTCCGTGTGTAAACTTAGATGTTAACTACTTAAAAATATTGCAGTGAAGAAATAAAAGCTTACTGAAACGCGTTCATTTGATATTTTAGCTTCTTGTTGCTTTTAGACACCCAAGACAAAAGAAAGAAAAAGAGTTAAAATGTAATGAAGGCTCCTTTCAGAGTCATAAGCTACTGCTAGAATGCTTGCTATCTCTTGGGGTTACACACTCATCCTCCCCAGGTTTAGAGATTGGGGTTTTCTAGAGGGGTGCTTCTGAGTGAAACAATAAACAAACAAACAAAAAAAGAATACAGTTAGCTCTAGAACTGAAGTTCTCTTGACTACCTCCTGCCATATACCTGGTGCTTACTTATGTGACCCTGTGGGAAAAGGCCCAGAGTGGGTCTTCTGGTCGGTGCCCTTGGCTGGCTTCGGGTGGTATTAAAATACCCTCTAACGGTTTCATTCTCCACCTCAGTGGAGCCAGCTCACCCTTTCTGGAGAGACTATAGTACCTCCATTTGATCTCAAAAGTCTTGGTGTGARGTTGTTAGATGGATGTGGATTTCAGATCACATCTCCTGACCCCTTTGTCCCCAGTAAGATAAAAGCAAAAGGGAAAAAGTAAGGTGTCGCTGTCTATTGTTGAGCCCTGGGAGTGTCCCTTTTCTGGCCTGGGAACATGGCATCTGCCTTTTCTAGAGGCAGAAAGTTGTACTAGTGATCAGCCTATTTGTCCTTCCCTAGGAAAAGCCATCTGGACTTTAAACCCAAATTACCTGTCCAACGGTACCTTGGCTGCCCCAGTGGTGTTGCTGCCAGACTTGGATGAGGACCATGTCAGAGATCTAGTGGTTCTGGCCATTGGGGAAACACAGGTATGTTCTTTATTAATTTTGTTTGTTTTTTTTTTTAACTTCAATTTTAGTTGTCTCAGTTTCTAATGTTGTTATTATAAATACTGCTTGAAACTTTCTTTTTATAAGGGCTTAGGTTTAAATAAATTCTCTTGGTGAGGTTAAGTGCACAAATGAGCATTATGAACCCATTTTTCCCAGCAGTTTCATTATGATTACATGGACTGTGGTGTAGTTGAGCTTTGAAGCCAGCAGTCTGTGTGTAAATTCCTCCTCTACCACTCTGTAGCTTTGTGGTCTTGGGCAAGCCAAAGAACCTATCCATGTTCTGGATTCTTCTGTAAAAATGGCAGTGCTGTATCCACTCATAAGATTGTTACGAAAAATAGAACTAACATATATAAAGTGCCTAGGAGAGTGCTTATTGTTACCATGTAAAGGTATTGTTAGTTTTACCATATTTACTATATACATTTTGAAATTTTATTTCAACTACAAAACAGGAGAGACTGATAGAAAATTTATTAAATAGATACATAGAAAAAAATCTTAAATCAAATGATAAAATCAGTGATCTAATGAAGAAGTATTATAGCCTATGCTGTGACAAGATAGTTTAATTCTATAATAGTGACCTCTAAATTATAGATGTATCAATTATGGAGCTAGTTATTCTGTAGACAGATAAAGTAATAGTGTTTTTCCCAAATCACAGGAAAAACTGAATTACTGAATAAAATCAGCTCAACTTTAAGTTTTATTCCTGAAGCACTTCTTAGAGCTTTTTTTCAGTTTCTCTAACRCTTTCTCAGACTTTCTAGTATGAGACTGTCAAGGACATGCTTATGAACAAAAGAACAAATGGCAATGAATATTTGTGAGAAAATGTGGATGCAGACAAGTTTGCCTCATTTGATTGCTTATTTTAATTTTAAACTAAAGGACCTTGTGAGTACTTTCTGTTGGTTTTCTTCAACTGGCAGTTTGGTCTCCAAGTGGACATGAACCAAGAATTCAGGAATTATTCACATAATCATTATGAATAAAGAAACTGTGTGGTCTAGGGAAAATTTTAATTATTACCTCTAGCTGGGAGTGATTTTCTAAAGGTCCAAAGGGGGAGAAATCTGGGGAGTTTCATTCTAATAGAATTCAGCGCAGAACAAGGYCCTGAGCATGTTTATAAGCAGAACAAATTCAGAGATCTTGTTCTTAGTGCCCCATCTGCCTCTTATAGCTGTGGTGGCCAAGGGATAGTGGTTCAAGCCATTAGGGGACCCTCCATTAGAGGAGTCAGCTTTTCATCTGCTCTTACTCTGCCTTTTTAAAAATTATTACTTTGTCTCTATTTAGTGTATTGCTCAGCTTGCCTCACAAAATTTACTCATTTGCACAATAGTGTACAGATATGGAATATGTTATGCTTGAAAAGTGATAGTTCCAGAAAATTCTTGGAGAAGTGATTGATTTAGAGCAGCAGCTTCATTTTTATTCTAATCTCTTTGCCCTCTTTACCAGCAACAGAGAAAGTGGGAGCCATGTAAGCCATAGACATGGAAGGAACTGTTTTCATAAGAATGGAAACATATTAGGTCAGTGCCCTAGTGATTGTATCCTTAGGTCTCAGGTTAGTGTAAACTGAGTTTGGGAGAACTGGACCTGGCTTGGGATTAGGAAATGGATCTAGACTAGAAAGTTAGGAGGAGGGACTTTAGAAGCCAAGCAGTTACTGCTCTCACACCATGCTGTGATATCTGGGTTTGATTCCAGACACACTGGCACCTGTGCTCTTCTTGCACACTCAGGTGATGGGAAGAGCACTCATTTGTGGGTGGTCCATTTCATTGTTAGTTAGCTCTAGAAATTATCCTATTAGTGCTTTCTCATATCTTCCATTCATTGTTCTAGCTTCAGCTCAGTAGAGCTACTCTGAATGAGTCTAATCCCTGAGTTCAGTTAGCTTGGTCTCTCTAAGCTTGCTGCTCTCAAGGCCAAATAGCTTAGTTTTTTTTTTTTTTTTTTTTTTTTTTTGGTGCTGGGGATTGAACCCAGGGCTTTGTGCGTGTGAGGCAAGCACTCTACTAACTGAGCTATAGCCCCATCTCAAATATCTTAGTTTCTTATATTGTTCCCCCAGTTGCTGGAAGTCCCAGCCTCTCTTTTTCTTGATTTCTTTCCCTTTGCACTTCACAGTTTATCTCTTTTAAATGTGGTACCCATATCTGCAAATGGTATTTTATTCTTAGTTTAATGAATTATACCATCCTGAGGAAACTGACTTTTTAAATGAAGACTCTATATCTAGTTTTACAGTCAAAGATTACAATAACCTAAGATTTGCTCTTTGTTTTTATTCCCAGTGAAGCACCCATATCTTTTAAGTAATCATTAGTTAATAGACCAGTATTTTTTTCTAAMAGATTTTGACTCATCTTCTAGCCTAAGACTTTTTTTTTTTGGAGTTTGTCATATAGCATATTAGCTATTCCTCTCAGCTTTGTGATAAACTTGAATTCTATTTAAATTTTTGATAAAAAAATGTCTTAAAGGAATGAGGCAATAGCAGAGTGTTATGACATTCTAAAAACATCCCTCTGGATTAGTACTGACCCCATGAATACCATATTTCTTTATCTTGTCCATAAGAATTCATGATAAAACACTTTATCAAAAGCTTTACTGAAGTTAAGATATTGGCATAGTTTCTGTATTTCCCAACTGGTGACTCCTCAAACAAAGAACAAAGAGATAAGGTTGATAAATTATGCTCTGCAGGCCAAATTTGGCCCTCTGCTTATTTTCATGAATAAAGTTTATTGGAACACAGCCACACCCATTTATTTATGTGTTTTCTATGGTTGTTTTTATGCTAGGTCCAAATAGGAGGGTTGTTGCTGTGGAGACCATGTGGTTAGCAAAGCCTAAAATATTTACTACCTGACCTTTCACAGGAAAGGTTTGCCTATCTCTGAGAGTGAAGTTGACAGTGGTCAGACATCTGATGTCGTGATGGAAAAGCTCTGCCTGTAGTGGTTCTAGCTGGGGCTGAATAGTACTGAGGGCTTCAGGGTATGGGAGTAAAGACCTGAGGTTAGCCAATCCTGTATTCAACTCTAGGCTAGAATTGTGTGTCTCTGAAGACTGGGCAGTCAGCAACACTTGTGCTTCAGATAAACTGTCTGATGCAAAGGTGCCCTTTGCATGTACTAATCAGGGGATGGGCTGTTCACTCATTTCTTACTTTCAGGGAAATTACCAAAGCAGCCTTGGCCTGWGGTTTCTAGCTTTGGGAATTTTGAGCCCTTGGCTGAACAGGAGGCAATGACTGTCAGGAGAGGCTGTTTGACTAGGAAATGAAGGGCTTCTATTGACTCGACCCCTTCTTTCACTTCTTCAGCCAGATCTGTGCTTTCTGCTGGTGTCTGGCCGGACGGGGAGTCCAATAGGCCGACCCGTGAAGTACAACATTGTGGGAGTAGGGAATCTGATTGGTCCTCAGGTTTACATCWCTGCAAATGGAGCCGTCTACATCCTGTTTGGCTTTGGTAAGGAGCAAGGCTGATTTTCACTACTGTTCCCCTCCGGTATATGTAACCAGGCCTTCCTTGGGAGGTGGTGAAAGCTCAGGGATTGCAGAGCCAGCTCTTTCATTGCCTCCCCTGCAGGGCCCTCTCCCCTCAATAGATTGTGAGCCCTGCTTTCCCTTGCTGCCTTCTCTAGAGGGAAGACTCTGTCCAGCATTTGCCCAATCACTTCCACACCCCCATTCCATGTGTGGGACCAGGTTGAGCAGGGTCTCGTAGACCTATCTAATTGGCTATGGGTCTCTTGCTCAGATCCCCACCCTGGGATAGTCCTGTTAAATTCAATTCTCAGTGTTGGTTCTTCCTGTGGTGCTAGGAAATATACAAGCTGTCGCCCTGCGGGACATTTTTGTTCAGGCCCAAAATCGAGACAGCTCACCACCTTCTCTGCAGATAGAAGAGCCAGAATGGGAGAAAAGAAGATCCATCAACTTGTCTGAGCTCATTGACGTGTACAGGTAAGGCAAACCTTGAACTTGGGTAGTTCGAGGTCTCCTGAGAACTCATATGCTGTGGAATCTCTAAATTTGGTTGGGCTGGTGAATGTGTGGGCAGAGATTAGGGGAAACAGTGCCAGGCTTAATATACCATCTTCTGATGTGGTGAATTCTTCCTCTTGATCACATAATGTATTAGTATCTATGTGTTTGTGCCCATGATGTATGATCACTTCACACATAGGTTGCAAGAAAGGATATTTGGTTGAGTCAGAGTAGTGATGGGGAGATAGATTTATTTAAAATAACTCTTCATAAGGCTGTGCATAACTATCTGGCCTACTCTATCCCGTATTTTTCTTTTAGTTGAAGAATCATTTCAATAGAAGCAAGGATAGCGTCCATGAAATCTTACTTTTAAATTTTTATCTGTTTCTTAACTAAAAGCATGTAGTTGTCATCCGCAGTGAATTTGTACCCATCTAGCCCTCTGCTGGGGTAATAATTGTTTTGTTCTTTTCTACCAGAAGTTGCAAATCATTTTCTAGCATTTTTTTGAGGGGCAGTATCATATTGTTTCAGTGAATTTGACAGGAATTAAACAGACTGGCCCAGTGGTGTAGAGAAAGGAAGAATTTGATGAAGTGCAAGCCAGGAGTTGCTGTCCAACCTCACTGACAATTTCAGGCCTCCTGTCCTGCTCTCCATCTGTCTTCTCTGCCATTATCCTTGGCTCTTTTCCTCTCCCTGAGTTTCCAATGTGAGAGACATGGCACAATAGCACTTTTCTTGTGAGTTTGTTTTGGACTTATATGGAATTTTCTAGAGAACCTTGGTTTCTAAGGATCAAGAAAGTGAGATTAAATGGGAATGATAAAGAAAGTGAGATTAAATGGAAATGGATGTAAGAGCACGGCTGTCTGTCTGTATCCATGGAGTCCACATTTTTTATTCAACCAGCTGAAGATTGGAAATCTCAGGGAAAATTTTTTATCTGTATTGAACATGTCCACTCATTTTTTCCTTGTCCTTATTCCCTCAACAATAGAGTATAACAACTATTTACATGGCATTTACATGACCCTAGGTTTTATCAGTAATCTAGTGAGATTTTAAAGTCTGCAGGAGGATGTAAACTGTGTGTAGGTACTATACTATTTTATATAAGGACTTGAGTAACTGTGGATTTTGGTATTTGCAGGGGTCTTGGCACCAATCCCCCATGATTGCCCAGGGACAACTTTATATGCAAGCACACATAGAGTGAGAGAAAAAGCTAAAATAAATGGTTTCAGGAATCTCATTCACTCCAGAGGCTAACTATTGGGGTCTTGTTTAATCCAGTGATGGTGTTGAACTACTCCAGATGGTAAAGGCGCCAGATTCCAACTGCAGCAATCTCCTGGTTACAACCAGACAAGGCCTGGTATTGCTTCGGGGACAAAACCTTACACCTTACTGGACACTGAGCCTTCAAGGCCTACGTAGGTTCGTAGACTGCTCCTGCTCCTGTTTGCTGGTTTGATCTACTGTCTTTATTTATTTGTTTATTTTTATGTGGTGCTAAGGATTGAACTGAGTACCTCACACATGCTAGGCAAGTGCTCTGCGACTGAGCTATAGCCCCAGCCTCTCTTTTCTTTTTTTTTTAAAGAGAGAGTGAGAGAGGAGAGAGAGAGGAGAGAGAGAGAGAGAGAGAGAGAGAGAGAGAGAGAGAGAGAGAGAGAATTTTTAATATTTATTTTTTAGTTCTCGGTGGACACAACATCCTTGTTGGTATGTGGTGCTGAGGATCGAACCCGGGCCGCACGCATGCCAGGCGAGCGCGCTACCGCTTGAGCCACATCCCCAGCCCCTCTCTTTTCTTTTTATTTTACTTACTTAATTTACTTACTTGCTTGCTTTCTGTACTGGGAATTGAATCCAAGGGTGCCCTACCATCGAGTTACACCACTAGTCCTTTTTATTTGTTTCTTTTTTTAAAATTTCAAGACAGCACCTTCCTGAAGTTCCTGAATCCGGCCTCAAACTTGAGAACTTCTTGGCTCAGCTTCCTGAGTAGCTAGAATTATAGCTGTGTGTCCCATGTTCAGCTGTTTTTTTTTTTTAAAGTTATTTTGTTTTATTTTGAGATAGGGTCTTGCTAAGTTGTTCAAGCTGCTTTTGAACTTGTGATTCTTCTGCCTCAGTAATGTAGCTGGGATTACAGGCACGGGCGACCATGTTCAGCTTCACTTTCAAAGCACATGAAACAATTTAAAAATTTACCTAGAACATTTACTTGATATCTGGCATTTGCAAGAGAAAGAAGGGAAGGAGTTCCTTGTTTTCTTATTCACTGTTGATTTCTTCCTTGTCCTTATTTGCAGCCAGCCTACTCCTGGGTATTTCACTGATGATCAAACATTAGACTTCCTTCTGCAGATACAGGATGGACTTGGGATGAAAAAGGTAAAATTCTGGGACTCAAATCCATCAAAACTTATATAAAGTATATGCTTTGTGTCCATCTCTGTGCTAGACTTAAGAAATAAGAATCTAAAAATGGTCTCATCTTTGAAAGAACTCCAAAGTCTAACTGAATGGGTAAAATGARAACTCAAAATTCACTGCTCAGACATAAAGCACTGAAAGTATTTCTGGCTAATTTCATTCCTGTACACAAGTTCCTGCTAGATCCTTAACTTACAGTTAGGCAGGAGGAACCTTCTGAAATCTCTTGATAGGGTAAAGGCAGCTATTAAAAGAATGGAATGGAACCAACCTAGATGCCCTTCAACAGATGAATAGATAAAGAAAATGTGGTGTGTATACACACACACACACACACACACACACACACATACACACACATACACACACAGTGGAATATTACTCAGTTTTAAAGAAGAATGAAATTATGGCATTTGTAGGTAAATGAATGGAGCTGGAGAATATCATGCTAAATGAAATAAGCCAAAACCAAAAAACCAAAGGCTGAATGTTTTCTCTGATAAGCGGATGTTGATCCATAATGGGAGGGGAGGCGTAGTAGGAAAGAATGAAGGAACTTTGGATTGTGCAGAGGGGAGTGAAGAGATGGGAAGGGGTGTGAGGGTGGGAATGAGAGGGACATTATTACCCTATATACATGTATAATTACACTACAGGTGTGACTCTGCACCATGTACAGCAGGAGGACTGAGAAGTTGTGCTCCAATATGTGTACAATGTGTCAAAATGTATTCTACTGTCATGTATAGCTAATTAGAACAAACTAAAAAAAATAAAAAATAAAGGAATGTGATACTTCAGAGCAAGTATGTTTCAGAGAAGGCAGGGTATCTATGGCAGCTGCGTTTTTCGTGGAAGACTTTATATAAAAGATGGAAATATGATTAGAGACTTTAAAATTGAATTTATGTGGATGGGACAGCAGGCTAGGTCAGGAACACCAAGACCAGAGGCCCAGAGACAGAAATGGTGTGGCATGTTCCAGGGACACAGAATAGATCTTTCTGATTTTCGGGGAGCCTGCATGTTGTGTGGGTTTAATGTTTGGCTGGACCGTTGTCATTTCTTTAATATTACAGGCAGAATTGTAGAATTTTAAAAATTCATTTTTTATAATTGGCTTAGAAAAATACATATCTATATGTTGCACAATGTTCCCTGAGAGAAAATAATTGAACAAGCACTGACTCATCCCCTCTAGGGTGTGTCAAGTTCTGAGTTAGATGTTAGAGATGGAAAACAAATGAAGACAGGGCTGCTTCTCTTGGGGCACCTAGGCCACCTAGGCTAGAAAGTGCTGTTAGGGGTGTTTGCACATGATTCCCACAGCACCCAGGAGCAGGTGGGGTGCAGGAGAGCTAGAGGGCCAGGGAGTCGAGATGCTGCATGTCAGTCAGGGGTTGCATGTGCAGAATCATGGCAGTGGAGCAAGGTTTGCTGAGAGAGAGAAGGATGCCTGAGCACATTTCTGTGAGAGATCAGAGTGACTCAGCTTGAGTGGGCCCTGAAGGCAGGCTGCGGGATGTGGGTGGGGTATGGATGCCACAGAGTTTTTTGGTCACAGGCAGAGGACAGATGTGAAGGTAGAAGGGAGAGTCTTCCAGCAGTGAGAAGTGAAGTCTGATTGTACTCTGAAAGAATTTCAAATAGGTTTGGCTTATTTTATTGACATTCCCAGGAGGATTAAGGGAGAAGGTTGTTTATGCACTGAGATACGGAAGATTTCAGGCCTGGGTTTTAATCCTGGCTCCACTACTTACTGGTGATGTTGGGCAAATTACATAATTTCACCTCACTGTTTGCATCTGTAAACAGGAGCAGTAAGTAATATTGCCTGCCTTCAGGGGCTTGTCATGGCAGTTCAATATGATACTGCAGGTATGTGACTGGATACAGTTTTCAGTGTGGTGCTTCTAGGCTTCTTTTCTCCCCACAACTACAAAAGGGAATCTCTCCTGCTTGTCTATTTCTCCTCTCTGCTGCCCAGTGGTCTCCAGGAGTAGGAAGTGACTGTCCCGAAAGGGCTGGGTCTTCCACTTACTGAAGAGCAGAGACATGGAGGAGAGGGAGTAAGAACCCTGGATGGGAGATGGTGGGGGAATTTCTTGGGGATTTGGGCAAATGACAGGTTCTAGATCTATGAAGTTTGAGGTTTGGGGGGTTAAAGGAGGTATAAGTGCTGCTGGGGATTGTGATTTTGACTTATTAGCCTTTGAGAAATGCAGATGTGGAAATACCTCTTGGTTTGTTTATGCCTGTTAAGTCTGTGCTCCTTTAAATTTGAGGCTATCCTAGGGCTCAAGTACATATGCCATGACTCAGTAGGGTTAAAGTCATAAAGCTCGTAATGCAGTGCCTGGTATTCACTTAGTTGCTTCCTGTGGTTATGGGAGGGAAAGAACAGCAATGTGGCCTGCTGTTGGCATCTAGTTTCAATACTAGATGGCTAGAATGGCTTTGCTGAGACTGTCTTAAATGTGGGACAATCCCAGTGACTCTCTGTTTCTGAGAATCCTGTCCTCACCTGTAAAATAAGGTGGACTTGATGATTTATAATATCCTCTTGAAAAGAACTATAAAGTTCCTTAAGCTCTATTAAAAGGGAACAAGAACTGCAGAAATTTGGATACTGGTCTCTCCTCATCCCATTATTTGATGTTCTCTGAACTCCCGGTTTGCTTACCTCTCAGAAGCTCAACCTCTGAATGCAGTTGGCTCTCCCCATATCTTTGGGTTCTACATTGGGATATTCAGCCAACTGTGGATTAAAAAATATTTGGAAGAAAACATGTGGGTGCACTGAACACTTAGACTATTTTTTTTCTTGTCACTAGTCCCTAAACAAATAATATAGCAACTATTTCCATGGCATTTACATTGTGTAGGGTATTAAAAGTAACCTAGAGATGATTTGAAGTATAGAGGACATGCAGAATCTACACTATTCTGTGTAAGGTTCTTGAACATCCACTGATTTGGGTATTCATGGTGGAGAGGGATCCTGGAGCCAATTCCCCACCAACACGGAGGAAGGCCTGATGGGTGTTGTTTGAATATTTGTGGTGTTTGCCTTGTTTCTGTTTGGTATGCTTTCTCAGCCTGCTGATTTTCCAAGGACTGGCTTTCTTCACTTTTATTTTCTCTCTTGCAGATGATGGTGATAGATGGTGACTCTGGCTCCATCGCTTGGAGTTACAGTGCTCCATGTCACATGAAAGATGCACCGACCACCTCAGCAGTTACTTCAGACCAGAAGTCCGTCTTCCTCTTCTGGGCTGAAGGGCTGTCACCTGCCTCTCCCAATTCTGTGAGTGAGCCTGGGGGAGGGGTCCCTTTTCACTTTGTCACATGGCAGCTGATCTGTAGAGCTGACTGGGATCTCAAGGTGTTATCCAAGTGGTCACCTTCCTAGGGTTAGAGGTAGAAACAAGTCATGTTCTCCTGAGCCATGCTTCCTGCCTTTGCCTTTCGGCCAAGAATGTGAATACTGACCAGGGCCCATAACTGCTTGCTGCCCACAATGAGAGGCTGGGGAAAGAATAGAAAGTCCTTCCAAGATTCCAGGTCCAAACTCATATATGCCACAGTGGCTGAAGAGGAGACATCATTATGACTGATCTGGAGTGGGCAGAGTGAGTTTCACATGGGAGTCAGGTTGGGATGGTCTTTGAGGTGAGTGAACTGAGGCTGCAGATCGGCATGTTAAAGAGGCAGAGTAATTGGAGAGGGCCACTGAGTAGGCAAAAGCTGAGAGGTCATTTGGAGAAGTATCGGAACAGAAAGTCTAACACCTAGTAGACAGATTTTATAAAGCCTTACWTGTTATACTGCAGTATTTTAGTGGGGTTGATGAGGCTGAGTGCCACCTAGAATAGGTACCTAGGCATCTTAAGTAAGACCGCCCTGACATCTCAACTTAGCACTTACTGTGTGCCAGGCCCTGCGCTCTCTGTGGGGATCTAAGGATAATGGGAAGCAGCCCTGACCCTCTGCAGGAAGCAGATGGTTCAGGGATGAGTGGACACAGAGTCCTGAATTCATCAACCATGTGTTCTCTTGATAAGCTACTTAACTTTTCTGAGCCCATTAATGAAGATGCTAATATATTTTCTCATTTTGAGGATCAGATTTACTTAAAACCTAGATTACAGTGTTAGCTCTGTCATGCCCTAACATGTGACCACTGGAAGTTCACCTAACCAMCCGAGCCACATCTCCAGTGCTTTTTATTTTTATTTTGAGATAGGATCTCACTAAGTTTCTTAGTGCCTCACTAAGTTGCTAAGGCTAGCTTTGAACTTGTGATCCTTCTGCCTCAGTCTCCCAAGTTTGGAGTTACAGGTGTTACTGCCATGCCCAGCTCACCTAACATTTTGATTTCCTAGTTTCCTACTAGACAAAGGCATGTTACAAATGCTCCAGTGGAGCTACAAATAAGTGTAGATGGGTATATAAAAGAAGGGAGATAGTAATTTTGTTTGGCGTGATAGAGGGACCTTTTCATGAAAAGGTGGCATTTATGTTGGGTACCTGGGGTGGGAAGTATTCTGATGTATGGATTTGGGGTGCAGAGAGTAGTTAGTTGAGCAGGGAAATAATAAGATTGGCAGTTGTTAGGTAGAGCCAAGAGAAGCATGTATTTAGAATCATTTTGAGACATTCTTTTTTTTTTTTTTTAAGTACCAGGATTGAACCCTGGTACAAAGGCACTTGATCATTGAGCCATATTCCCAGCCATTTTTTATTTTTTTATTTTGAGATAGGTTCTCACTAAGTTTCTTGGTGCCTCCCTAACTTCTTGAGGCTGGTTTTGAATCTGCGATTCTCCTGCTTCRGCCTCCTGAGCTGCTGGGATTATAGGCATGCACCACCATGCCTGGCTTTATTGAATTATGAGACACTCTTTAAAGTATGGGGTGGGCAGTAAATAATTGCAGTTGAAGTCTCGGAAAGGTAGATTTTTGGTTAAATAGTGCTAGACTTTAGTTTTCAAGCTAAGAAATTTGGGTTTTGTTCTATAGGCAGTGAGGAAGGCACTTGGCTGTTTTATGGCCACGTTAACTGAGACAGAGCACTGTCCCCTCATACCTGGGTGTGTGGAAAAAGCCCTCTTCTATTTTGTGGGCTCCCGCCCATGCTTCTCCTGGTCAGGTGGATTTCCATAAGTAGAAGAAAGGAAGATTCTCTACAGAAGATTTCTTTTTCTTTTTCTCATATGAGCATTTTCTAGTTATAGATAGGGGTTTGAAGAAGTTAGTAATGACCCAGTGTTTTGAGCTTTGAAGTAACCAATCTCCTGTATGTGGGCATTTCTTTCAAACACATCCTTGTACTTGGGATTAGGATTTAGCATCTGAGAGCAATGAGTAACCACCACTTTATCGTCTATCCCCTCACTTGAGGAACATCATGTGCAGGAATGTAATCAGCTTTGCTCTTTCTTTCTGTGACTTATTGTTAGGATGCCCTCATGGGAGCTGAGCCACCCAGCCTCCACCACCTATACCTCCTGCACCCAGCTTTCCCCTCCATCTTCCTGGACCTGACCAACACCTCGGGCACAGTGACGGCCTCAGAGGGTGAGTTCCAGTGACACTGGGGGTCTGTGTAGACTGGTGGGGGGAGAATGTGTACTGGGTGTATGTGAGGATGCCCTTACCCCACCAAGGGAAGGATATGAGCTTTTTAGGCAACAGCAGCAGGATTTTCCTTGCTGTCCTTGGGCCAGGGGTGCTGCTYGAGGGCTCCCTCTGGCTAGGAACACCAGGCCAGCAGGGCAAGAGCCAAGAGCCTCTGAATGTGCTGAAAGGGAGGTGAAAACACATGGGCACTGCAGAGGGGCTCTTCAGGGATGATGGATGCAGCCCCTCGGCAAAATGTACTAAGCCTCAGCAATGTGCTAGGTGCTGGCAAGACTCACAGGACATCTTCATGGGGAAGACCAGTTGCTTGACCCTCTGGGAGTATAGGATTTGGAATTGACTGAGAGGAATATAATAGAAGTAGAATATGATTTGTCAGGGCATTGATTTAGTTGGAGTGGGTTTTTTGAATAGTAAATGTGTATTGCATAGAAATTGGAGTCAAGAGAGTGACTCTGCAGTGCCCATGTGTTTTCTTTGATTAAAGAAGAAAAATTACCCAGAATCTGGCTGCTCATAACCACAGTTAACATTTGGAAATGTTCTTCTACTTTACATATCTATCATAAAATTGGGCTCATATATTAGAGACCCCTAATCCAGGAAACTGAAGCCCGAGGCATTCAGCTGCTGCCACCTACTAGTCTGGCTGGCTGCTGTTCTCCTTTCACAATCCCACCCCTGCTGGAAGCTGCTCTTCCTGTTGATGGGTAGGGGATGGGGAGACCACATCTCCTGGCCATATCTGCTTTTTGTTTTTTGTTCATACTCTCTTGCCACTTGTAGACTTGCTCTGTAATTACAAACTCATTCCTAGAATTGGATTAGTGCTGTGGCTCTCATTTATTGGGATGCATTGGGAAGAACTGACCCAGAACCTGTAGTCCTGCCTGCCTACTGGTTGTGGGTCATGGGGGTGGAGGYGAGGTGGAGAGTCTTCCACTTGCAAAATCAATATTAGTTTAAAATTGTATACAGGGAACATTATGTAATGGTAATCAAGAATCTCAAGGCCATTTTTATTGTAAACACTATTTCAAGATGATGTAAAATCAACCCTTGCTAGGAAGTAACAGATGTGACCATGTTCTGACAATCTGGAAATTCTTGGGCTTTCTAGTCTGCGGGGTTCACTTTTTTACTGAGTGCTCACCAGTGGGCATGTTCTCTCATTTGCTGAGTTGGGGCTTCCTTGGAGATAGTGTCAGAAAAGTAAAGGCTCAAACACTGAAGAATAAGCTGCTTTGCTGGCATGCAGTCACTCACTTCTTCACACTTTCTGTTTGGCATTTCCCTTCTTCACTTTCTGGCATTTGCTAGGTGCTCAGGAAATTTTTCATATGAAGTAGTGAGTAAATTAATGACTGAAGGTGTTGAGCCAAGCCACTATTACTAGAAGCTGTCTGTCTTTGTTAASTGCTATCATTTTTGTCTTTCCTCAGTTGGAATCAACGACCTCTGGAAAGATGCCTTTTATGTCACCAGGACAACAGGGACAATCTCTGAAGGGCATCCAGCACCCCTGGTGGTCAGCAAACTTAGTCTGCGGTGGGCATTGATGGAGGGCCAAATGGTTCAGCTGAAGGAGACCACCCCCAAAATTGGCCGTGGGGAGCTGAGAAGATTCCTTTCTAGGATAAAATTTGTTGATTCTCCCTACCAGGTGAATAGCTTCTGAGATCCTTAGTTATTATTTTTTTGATGGGGGTACATAGAGTGCCGGGGATTGAACTCAGAGGCACTCAACCACTGAGCCACATCCCCAGCCCTATATTGTATTTAATTATTTAGAGACAGGGTCTCACTGAGTTGCTTAGCACCTCACTTTTGCTGAGGCTGGCTTTGAACTTGGGATCCTTCTGCCTCAACCATGAAGACATGGTTCTCAAGTTAATTGTTCTCAGCTGGAAATGATGTCATCTCCCATAGGAGACATTTGAAAGAATGTGGTCCCAGTGACCGAAGGGAATGGATCCTACTGGTATTTTTTGGGTAGGAGCCAGTGATGTGGGCATTATGCAGGGCTGGCCAGAGTCACACACTACACAGGATTATCTTGCTGGAAATGCTCTAGTTCAAAGCTCAAGAGCTTATCATGCAGAAGGACAAAGTCTCTGGGCCTTTTTTGGAGAGAGGAGAGATTCTTATAAACTATTGGGACTAAACAAAAGGAAATGGAGGAATATTCTGACCTTCCATTTCTTTGAGAATTCTTACCATGAAAAAAAGTCACTGATGCTTCTACCTTTTCCTGCAGATCTAGTCTGATGAAATCTTCGGTTTCAGAAGAGATAAACAGAACAGGTCCCTTCTGACAGTGTAAAAGCAGTTCTTTGGAAAGAAGACAACTTTGGCCTCATTTTAGTACTCGTTTGTGATCCTTGCACTTTGGAAGGCCTGTTGGAGCTTTTTGATAACAGCATGATTCGCTTGGCTGGGGTATCTTACCACCTTTCCAATCCTTGTATTAATCCCCTCTAGGAAGTCAGTGTGGAGAATTTGAAAATGTGAATCTTATAGATGTATTATTATTTTGTATGTCTAATTTATAAACTGTTGCTGGGAAATCCAGTGAAGATGATGGCTAGGAAATATTTTGTTTCACATTATGCTATTTGTATTTTTTAATGTTGTGGTGATGTCATTTTCCAGACATTCCCTAAGATTCAGGGATCCCATTTCCTGTCCTCCTGAAATACATCTGGTCTGGTCATCTTGAGACTTCCAGATGGCCCAACTCCGATTTTGAGGATCATTCATCTTTCTCTCCTTCCACTTTTACCACTTTTACCATGGCTACTTCCCTCCTAACTCTAGAGAGCAGTGATACAGATTGGTAGTGGAGGACTGTTAGCCGTGTCATGTTTTCATCAATGCCTTTCCTAGATTTGTCATCTACATCAAAGTGGCCATAAGAATAAATGTCCCTATCACAATGGGAGCAAGAAAAATATGGTTTCAATGACCCACCTCTGACGAGGTCTATATGTGGTGTTGTATGGGGTATCAATGGCYCTGCCATTTGTGGTTCTTGTTGCTGCAGTAACGTCAGAGGGTATATGTGTCTGCTGTCTTTAATTCAGACTTGGAAGCCAGGTCCTGGGAGGCCTGTGTCCTTGTCCTGCTGCATTTTCACTCTGCTTTCTTAGAATCTTCTCTAGAACATCCTCCTCCTCTTCCCTCCCCTGGCTCTCTCTATTTTATTCAGGGATATGTTCTGGACTTCCTTTGCTACTTGAGTCCAGTGTGCAACCCCTCTGCCCTGCACTTCTCCTTCCTGTACAGCCTTTGAAGCATTGTATTTTGAGAAAATTCTTATGTAAATACTATAACTTTTGTAAATGCTTAAGTTCTTCAGAATTATCTCCAGTGCTTACTTCCCCTTTCTTCTATGTAAATTTGTTGCCTTTATTTAAAATTCTAAACTTCTAGGCCATTGTCATTGTCTGTATAGCAGAGAATTCCATTAATAGCTGATGGAAAAATGTTTTTCTTCTTAACTTTGATARGTCTGCCCTGAAAATCAGGTTCTCTCCTTGCTTGGGCTTATATCTTTCTAGTTTGTATTAATTAAGGAGCTCCAGGAAAGTATGGATTCCAGGTTTAAAGGGATACCTGTTAGTCGTCCAGGGATAGTTATTGTGACATAACTGGAGGTTGGCAGCAATAAATCCAAGCAGGCTCATCATGTGACCTGTGTACTGTCTGGCCTGTAGCTTGGCCTCAATAGGTTTCTAGGTACCGCTGCCTTAAGACCCAGAAAGCATATTCGATTTCAATACTTTCTTTGGAAGTATGTGTGTCCAACTGACTCTTTGAAGGAATAATGAAGAGGATACCTGGGTATGGAGGTGATCCCAGATTCAAAATTTAAATCTACTTGAGTGTAAATGCCTATAAGTAATTTTTAGTAGACTGAACCCCAAAATGTGTTGTTCCTGTGGCTTGCTGAGCCACCTAGACATAACTACCATGTTGAGGYTTTCTGGGAAGCCAGCCAATATAGTAAACAATGCAAAGTTGTTTACTGGGGACTTGTTTTGGTGGGATTGTTTCAGCAGAGGACTGTGTTTGTAGAGTGTGAGTCTCAGACACAGATAAGAGGAAGAATGACGTTGCTGAATTCTCCTTGGTGTTTTGGGAGCTAACTTCTTACAAGTTTGAATCTTTGCTTGCTAAATGCAATGAAAAGTTCCACGTTTACTTCCTCTTGTAGCTAGTACATAAGGATATCAGTACTGGCTGGAAACTGACCAATGTGGGTGCTGGTCTCTTGTCAAATGTGTCCCTAAACTTCCTTCTTCTTGAAGACAGCCATCCACCCAGAAATCCAAGATAGGAAGTGCTCCTTTGTCTCCACAATCCCAACATGGGGGTGCCGGGCAAAGCCCATACGACCACTATTTAGAAGTAGTAATGATTTCTGCAATGCGAGGGTCTTCCCTGCCTCTCAGTCTCCCTTCTCTCCTTCCCTTTGTAAACCCTCCCCTCTGTCCTCGACAACATCCTCACCCTCTTCCAATGTGTGGTCTGGTGATACCAACTAACCCCATGAATGTGAATTGCTATCCTTATTGCCCACATCAAAGATAAGCCTGCTGGTCTGTTGTCTAGAAAGACTATTTAAAATGTGAACTGTTACTGAATAAATACCATGTACAGGAATACATTTGTGTGCCATTCTCATTCTTCYTGCTATCAAGGATGGAAAAGAGAATGGGGGAGTGGATGGATGGCATTCTTTGTGGAGGAATAGCAGAGCAAGTGTCTCAGAAGGGAGGAGCAGATGGGCGTCTAGAGAGGAGCCTCTGCCCCCCTCTCAGTCACTGGAGAAGCCCCATGTGATTCTCTTCTGGGAACCCTACCCATCTGATTAGCCTTAGTAGGCTGTTTCTAGAAATGGACTGCATGAGCCTTCTCACATCACACTACCCTCCTAATTGTTTCTAGAATAATATTTAATAACACCTTTATTGGGATCTACTGTGTGGATGCAGGAAATTGTAATAAGCAGTATGGAGGACACCTGCCCTTCAAATTAACATGCTCAGTAGTGCTTCCATCTTACAGTCTGACTTCTGGGAAAATTTCAGTGGAAATTGAACTCCAAATTACTGTTAATTTGCTCACTTTATTTTTCTCTAATTTTCAGACTGATAAGCTGGTTTATAAGACCCTTAAAATCAGGAGCTGTATTTGACTCTCCCTTTTATCACCATTGCTTAGTCCAGAACCTGGCACATAAGCAATTGGCAAGAGAGAAAGAAATTCTGAGCCAGGACGTACGGAGGATGGAGGACATGGGACAGAGCTATGGAGGGGAAGGGGCAGTTGTAGTGTCCCTTTGGACTTTGACTTTAAGATGCCCTTATTCTTAGCCTCTAAAAAAATAACGCAAGAGACAGTTTGGCTTAAGCTGATGTTTATAATGAACAAATTGTGTAAGGTTGGGCTCAGCCTGCTCTCCAAACCCACTTAACTACTAGCACTGCTCTTCTATGGATGACCCAACCACTTCTTTCAGCTCCTGGCTGGTCCCTTGTTGAAATCTCTGGTCTTGTAGTGCTGAGTAGAAGTCAGCACTTTCGGAGATGGAGTGGATGGGCTGGTTGTGGTATTGGTGGTAGCTTGTGGGAGGACCTCCGGGGTGGGTTGTACATGACTGCTGCTGAGGGAAGCACCGGTGGTGATGGAGTAGGCAACCTGGGTTTTCTTTGAAGGTCTTACTATGTCTGCATTTGAACTCCAGGACCATCCTGGTGTATGTGTTGAAAGTGGTGACAGCAGATGCCATGCAGCAGGTGAAGGAAACCCAGGCCGTGCTAGGGACAAACACACAAAAGGGACAGTAAGAATCTGACTTTCCCCAGCACCGAAAAAAAAAATTATATATATATATATATATATAAAATCTGATTTTCTTGAAAGTCAGATTTTTCTATTGGCATACTAGGCTGGTGTCTCTTGGGAACTAAGGAGCTTGAGTATGCTGCTTTTCATCATGATTCACGTAAACAACTATAAGCAAGAGGACAATTTGGTATGTCTTGGTGGTACAGACTGTTTTGAAATTGATGAGACTGACTCATGTAGTACTAAAATCAAACAAGGGATTTAATGGATTTATTTTCACTGAATTGATTGGTTGTCAGTGCCATGCTCTTAAACCTGATGGTGTGCCTGTGTGTGTGTGTGTGTGTAATTTTAACTCTTGTTTCCAAAGCTGCAGTTACCACCCTTTTATCTCTCCGAGATACCACAGATCTGCAACTCAACTGGATATGGTGGACATGATAGACATGACCTAATGCCCTTTTTCCCCCTTCTCCTTTCTTCACTCAGATGCCAGGAGGAATCATCCCTCTTCCACTTTTTTTTTTTTAACTTAATAGTCTTAGGTCCACAAAGTTATGGAATAATGTAGGAAAATTTTACTACAAACCTGAAGGTATTTTGTGTGTGATACTAGGGGGGTCTGCTTATTATGAAACACTGTGGTCTTGGCTTAAGGTATTTTATAATGGATGCTGGAGATTAAGAGAAGCTGAATGGATTCAAGAAAGAAAAAAAGAAAAAAAAAAACCACCAGGGAACTACATCAAACTCATTTCTAAAAATTTGGAAAGCTAAATCTCTGAATCTCCCTGTGATTCTGGGACGCTCAGGTAACAGGAAGTTTTGCGAGGTTAGGTGGGATTTCATGAGGCCAAGTGATGCTTAAAGCCATGCCATAGCTCGTGGGAAGTAGAGATTCAGGCTGGGTTGCTTCWGAGAGTTTTGCAGTCTAAACTCCACAACTGAAATGCCAGGAATGACTTGAAGAGACACAAAAGGTGAGAAATGCTGGGTAGAGGAAGTGAACTAAGCCGATGATGTGGCTGGAAGACTAAGGACTCCTGAATCAAAGGGCACATATTGCACCGCAAGAAAAGTGGGTAGGCTCTCATTCCAAACATGGGTAGGTTTCCACAGTGCCTTCTTAGAAGTGCAAACTTGAGTCAAACTAAATTTTTTTTAAGAGAATAACTGTGGATGAGAAGTTTTTATTTCTAACATAGTTTGGTAAAGATAAGAATGGAGAAAGGTGCAAGAAGTTACTCTTGGCTTGAGTTTAGAATGAAAGGGGAGAGAATTTGGTTGATGAGCCATTGAAAAAATGATCAAATCAAATTGATTTGATCCATTTGAATTGATGGAATTCAATCCAAATTTCAAAGCCAATTATCCTTTGTTTCTCTGAGACTTTGAATCATGAACTATAAGGAAATGTACAGTATCATTTCCATAAGTCACATAAAATCAGTTTCATTTCACAAGGGAAACGAACGTTTCAAGGGAAGAAGAGATTGCTACAAATGGTGATCAGGAAAATGGGAGGAGGTCATATCCTCACAAAGTCAGCCAGAGGAATGTTCTCTGCACACCCTGGGAAGCAGGTAAAGAGTAGAGGTTCTGATGATCCAGCCCCACGTTTGGCTGGCAGACTTGTGAGATGAGGCATGAAGAGAAAGCAGGAGGACATAGAATGAGTATCTAGCTGAGGGTAGAAACTCTAGCGAAGGAGGGGCTAAAAAGATGACCAGCACTTACTAGAAGGCCCAGCCATAATTCCAAGAATGTGGTCTCCAGTCTTCTGGACCCACGTTGACAGTTGCCTGGAAGACTTGGGAATACATCATATGGGCCACCATCCCCAGAAGGCCTACAGAGGGAAGAGGAAGGCAGAGCCCTTGGAGAAGGGCTGCCTTTGCCATCCACAGGAAGACGATTTTGGAACCGCCTTCTCACTTTGAATCAGGTGTGGCCATCACATTTCCCAGAAGACTATAAGCAGCAATGGGGGCTTCTTTTTGAATKCGTAACTTGGCCACGATCACCCCAGATTTCAGGGTGAGTACTATGGAAGAAAGCCTCTGAGTCAGTACTGCACCCAGGGCCACCACATCCTTTGACTTCTTCCCACCCCACTCTTTGTTCTTTATATTATATGTGGATCTGTATATATAATAGTCTTGAAAAGCTATGCCTATGTCACAATCTGAGAGTACCAAACCAGAGGTTTCACATATTGAGAAAACTTTCAAGTAAAGGAACCTAGAAGCAAATCATTTTGTAAAGTACACATTGATCCAAGCCAGTTTGAGGCCAGCCTTGAGACCTCATCTCAAAGTAAAAAAATAAAAGGGGGTGGGTGTAGCTAGCTCAGTGGTAAAGCCTTTGGGGGTTCAGTCCCCAGTACCAGACCAAAAAAATAAATGAAAAATAGAGAGAAAAGAAAAAAACCTTAATGATCCAATGTATAATTTCATGTGTTATCGTTATTTCCATTTTAAATGAAAGATGCCTATAAAGTTATCTTTCATCTCCACTCTATATTGCCTTTAGGCTCCTCCTCCCTCTGCTTAAGAACCAAGACCCAAGCCCTCCCGCTTGTGCTTCAAGGCAGATGGAGGACAGCCATCTGACACCGTGGGGGTCACTCACCTGACAAAACRGAGGCAATGGCTGCAAAGGCGCTCAGCTTAAGCCCACAGCCAGGGTTCCCCGTGAGCAGCAAGTCCATCAGGAGCAGGAGGAAGCTGATGAACTCAAGGCCAATGTACGTGATTTGGGCTCCCAGTGATAACCAGAGGATCTCTGTTAGAAACCAACAACCATCTCTGTTAGAACCTCAGCCAGAYGGTTAAATAACTGAACCAACAACCATCACAGGGCACCCTCCAGAAGTTAGAAGCCCSGCAGTGTAGGAGAAGGGGARAAGGAGGCAAAGCTGGAAACAATTACTTCATTTTGAGGTCCTTGCTCTCACCCTGCAGTTAGTTCCMGCTATGTGCAGCACCCAACATATAATCAAGTAAACTTGATGGACAGTAATAGTTTTAGRGAGATTTGTGGGGGAGAATCACCTAATTTCCATAAATCTAGGGATGTAACTTTGCTATATCATTTTGTCTTTTTCTTTATATAAGTTTGGGATAATCAGCTTTGTTTCCTTTCTCCTTTCTTCCCTCCTCCTATTACTTCCTTTTCATTATAAATAAATAAATAAATAAATAAATTTTTTTAAAAAGGGATGGGAGAAAATAAAGGAAAAAAAAAAAAACTTGAGCTTTTCAATGTAGTTTCTTGGCCACAGCTAGCTGCTGGTTTCCTGTTTATGAACTTTACTTGTCCCTCTGTTGTTCCCATTTTGCATTCATGCATGTAAATTGCATATGAATGAAAGTCAGCTTTAGGAGTAATTTATGGCACTCAGTAGGGCTCAGAAGAAGAGAAAAGCAGAAGATCACAGTGTAGTTTAGATCCAGAGAGGCCCCAATCAATGATAACTAAATTCAATAACTAAATTCCTTATCGAACACATACTTGCCACAAGCCCCAAGGGAAGGTGGGGGAGGAAAGCCTTCTCCTTCAACCACTCCCCTCCAAATCGGAGAGTGGGGTGACATGGGCCTTGCAACGTGGCAAATTCCAGTAGTCCTTTCTCACCTCTCTCGGCTGGTGGTGTGAGTTCAATGAAACTTCGGCACCTCTCCCCTGAAACACAAGACACGACTTCATAGRAGTGCTTCCCTGGACAGTTGGGATGAAAGCCTTTCCCACATCCCACATCCATCTGCTCAGCAGGGTGCCTTGCATATAGTAGGCATTTAATGTCTCATTTTGAAAGCAGGAAAGAATGCATGGATGRATATGAATGGCACAGGCAAGAATCATCCAAGCTAACTTCTCTCTTYTCCCTTCTGATAATGAAGATGAGAGTTTTTACACAGACTAACATTCCCATTTCCTCTCAGGAAGAGTGCATGATTCTGCTGTTAACAAATGCCTTTTGAAGCCACTATACCACTGGATCAAATGTCTCTAAATTGTTTCCAGGGCTGTGGTTGAAGCAGTGCTAAGTGGCAAAATAATAAAGATAAAATGCCAACACATACATTTTTATTCCTCTTCCATTTCCTTTTCTCCTTAGCCCAGTTTGGGAGAAATAGCAGATCTCAAATTGAGTATGATTCTGAATGACCTTTGAGGCCACAAGGTGATCTTATTCTCTCTCAGCTGAGGAATATACGCTGACTAGGGCATGTTGACAGTGTGGCAAGAGACCTTGGAGCAACTGTCTAAAGCTACTCCAGAGGGTCCTTACAAGATCCAGTACCTTCTCTGAGCCTTGGTTCCCCCAGTCTTTTAAATTGTAACAGTAATCCCTTAGAATGAAATACGCTCTTGTGGGGAGAGGGGAAAGAAGAGGCTTTTGGAGATGATCTACAGTGATCCTTTCATCTCACAAATGAGAAAATCAAGGCTTACGGAAATGCAGTTACTCATATAAGATCACAGTTGGGTAGAGCTTGGGCTTTTTCTACAATATTTCTCTCTCCTTGTTTTGTTTCTATACAGCAATTCTAGCTCACTAGAATGGGAATTTTAACACGAAAGGACTAAATGAAACTCTTAAGGTTAATGCTATTTTAAATATGCTATGTTAAACCAGCAAACAGAGCCAGTTATGGKGGTGCATGCCTGTRATCCCAGCTATTTGGGAGTCTGAGGCAGGARGATCTGGATTTCAAGGCCAGCCTGGGCAACTTAGTGAGATCCCAACTCAAAATGAACAAACAATCAAAAAATGAAACACCATCAACAACAACAACAAAACAAAACAAAAGCACAAATCACCCAGTAGGTCTTACTAAAGAATGGGGATGAGAATCTAGAAGGAATTTTGGACTTATTAAAAGGGGCTATGAAAAAGGGACAGCACCCAGGATGTAGAAGGTGCAGAGCAGGGGTCGGGTGGTGGGATGAGGCTCATCTGGGTTTAGGCAAGTGCAGTACTTTTCACTGCTGCCCAGTTCTAAGCTGTCCTAAATGGTTTCCTTGCCTCATAAGATTCCTTACTCCCCTGCAAATAAAATAAAATATAAAATACAAAATAAAATAAATGAAGTTGAAGGTGAGGAGGCTACCTGGTTCTTCCATGGTTTCCTCACAGGATAGCCACATGCCACTCCGGAAGGTAAGGAAGGAGAACCGGTCATCCCCAGTCTCCCAGCTGTATTGAACCACCTCCGGGGTTGATGCGTTGGGGAAGCTGCCCTCCAGGGACATTGGCATGTCAAAGCATTTGGCTGCCAGACTTTTTCCGCACAGGGGCTTAGGCACCTTCTGTGTGCCCACAAACCAGGAGCTGCTGAGCAGGGATGTTGTGGAGAGGCTGAGTGATAGCAGGCTGAGGGCTGCAGATATGAATGTCCGTTGGCCAGAGAAGCCCTTCGTGAGTTCCATCTGTAACACACAAACACAAGAGAAGGGAGGGGAGCTGGAGAGCCTGCGGTCTGAGTCTCCTCTGAGATGTGAACCTGCTTCCTTCTCCTTCAAGCCTGATAGGCAGAACCAGTCTCTGTGGCCCACGTGCCTCTGGCTGGAACCCCTGCTTGCCTACTCATTTTTAGCATTTGAAGAGGGTGATCTAAAAATGACCAATATTAAACTTGCAACCTTGTTGAGYAGTGGTTTGGAGCTGGATTTAAAGAAAAAATTAACGACAATTCTTGTGCTTTGTGTTATGCAGCAACGTGTGCTGTTACATCGATGCACACCGAACAGGAAGAAAGCCTGCATGCGCTTAGTTGCCGACAGACGCTCCTTAAAGTAAACCATCTTGAGCTTTTCAGGGGATCTTTCATATCAGAATTAATCAGACCTAGATCTTCTTAGCTGAAGAGATGTAAATAAAACCACAGTTAAATGGACAGGTCCCAAAACCTGCCTGTCTCTTCACCCCCAGCTTAACAGAGAACTTTGACCAAGAACCATAATAGCTTGTTCTTTAGAATTTCCAGGGACTAATACAGTATACACCATAGACAAAGTGTGTATTATAAGTCTTTTGTCATTGTTCTGGTAACTATGAATTATACTTTCTAATTATCCTTATACCCATTGCTCAAATAGGAAATGGACTTCTAGCTAAAATATTTTCATGGATCATTCTGTGTAAAGACTGAACTAAGAATTTGTAAATTTGTAACCTCAGGGTTTGTTTTCAATAGCTATTTTCAGTCATATTTGGTTTGGAAATTTGTCTACTATCACATCAGATTTTTAACTCTAGCCTCAATCCATTTTGAGTTACACATATTTGTAAATTATTCTCTAGTTATTCAGAAATAAGAAATAGAGGTGTACCTACCTTGTGACACTAAGGTGACACCAAGTTAAGAGGCAATTTGAGAAAAGATAAAGAGCTTGAATTAGCTCAAAGAGGCTCCCCCCTTCCAGAACAAGTGCCCGTGGTTAGATGCAAGGAGCCCCCTTCAAGAAGCAGCATACACCACAGACAAAGCRCACATTATTTATGAACATGTATATAAAAACCAAAATACAAAATGAGATAAAAYAGCTTTTGGAAAGCAATCTGATAAGGTGATTTTTGATGCTCAATAACCGAGTGATCATCTCACTTGATGCTTCTCAAGAATTCTCTTCAATATTGTGCTGCCACACTCTTTGTCACATACCTTTTCTCTCTAGAATCCAGATACCTCTTGAAAGAGCAAATCTCGTTTTACAGTGGGTTCCTTAAAGTTACCCTGGAGAAATTCTGCCATAAGAAAAGCTATATCTTTTCCATATGCTGACAACAGAACCCAGGCCAAGGAATAGAGTGGCTTCTCTAACACTCAGGCTTAGATCACTAGGATATGTCAGCAACTCTTCTATCAACATATATTAACAGAAAAACAGCATTAATACAGGCTAGAAAGGACAACAAATGGATGAGACGATCACACCTTTTAAAAGAACAAATGCRGTACAGCTGTAGAATAAAGATGGTTACCTTGGCCATGGTCAGCATCTTGCAGCCGGTCTGGATGGATGGAAGGATGCCATCTGGGTTGCAATGCCTTTTGATTTAGTGTTCCAAGAATGAAAATGCCTTCCCCCCCTCCCTTCCTATCCCATAGGTTTTCGAGTGCTTCTTGATTAAATGCTGACTTACAGTGAACATGGGCATTTAATAATTGACAATGTAGTCACAGCCCAGCTGTTCTGGGTGATTATGCCAGATAGCTTGCCAGTGGGGACCTGGGATTAAGCACAAAGAGGAAAAGATCTGTGTTTGCAGAGGGAACTTATTTATTTTAAGTAAATGATTTAGTTTCCATCTACTTGCTATTCCCCTAGATAACTGGTGTGAATGGGCTGGGCTTGATTTTATGAAATCCACAGAAAATATTATAGGGCCACCATTACTACCCAGGTTCCTATTTCCTTGAGTGGAGCTTTCTATTCCTTTGAAGGAGCTCTATTATCTGCAATGTCTTTGGGGAGATATGGACATGGAATAGTTTCCTCTTCCACAGGTGGTCTCTTTTAGGTAAGGTAGTGTCATTAGTAAGCATTAAGTACCTGTGTCCATATGGAACCCTCAGAGAAAGGAAGAGTGTGTTAGGTCACAATGGCAGTAAGGATGAGATTCCATAGTTCTTTTGGGGGAAGGTCCAGTAATTTAGAAAGATCTTAATATATTTGGGGAACTAATATAAARTGACAATTGTTCAGCTCATTTTGGGCATCAATTTAACAAAGCTCTTTATAGAATGTCCTTCCTGCCCTATCTCTTCTGGACTAGCCACTAAGTTACGTTTTTTCCCATTCTATATTTGTCTTCATAGGGAATCAAAGACAAATTAACTTTAAGTTAACCTTAAGCGTTGGAATTTTTCCATGTTCTAGGCAAATGAGTCTCTTTGGATCCTGTTTTCATCACCCAATATATTCTCTCCTCTTCCCAGATTGATGCTAACAAGCAAATTTTATACAAATGTGCTTATGCCCAGCCATATTTTATGTTGTCACCCAAACAGTCCTTTACTTCTTGTGACAGAACTTGCTTGCCTCTGGGAAAAGAGAATTTGTGGTAACATTTGCAGCCGATTCTTTCCTGGAGACGTGGCTTCCTCACAACGCTGGGTGGCGCTATCCCCTCACATTTTTTCCTCTTCTGTCCAGCGCTTTCTCCACCAGTCAGGAAAAACGTGGGTGGAGGTGACTGTTCCTCCCTATAGGACTGCATTCTTCATTTGGCCTCCTCCCTGCACACCAATCTACAGAATGCCATGTGTCAGCCTGATGGAATTCAGGGCTCGGGGTGAACTTTGGGGGGCATCCAGTCATACCCTGGAGGACCTCTTTTTTATGATTATTTCCTATAGCACATTTTATTGTGGTCAGTTCTAATTTTCAGTGACTCAATGGATCCTCAAATACTTTCCATGGGAAATACAACTCCACGGTATCAGAAAATACAACTAGCCAATATTTCCTGATGAGTTTTGTGCACATTTTTCTCTACTTAATTGTATCCTCATTTTCTCCACCCCAGAACAGTGAACAATTCTTTTCCTCTTTCTGTGCTTACACCCTTTCAAATACTTGCAGACACTTCTCATATCCAGCTTGAGTCACTGTTTGGCACAGCCTTATGTCTTCAGTTTTTATTGCTTTTGCTCATAAACCGCACCTCCTATGCCTTAATAGCCTGAAGTTTGTCTTCTCCAGGGAAAAGGGGATGGGAGTGGCAGRGTCTTAAGTGTGTTACATGAGGAGGCCCAGCGCGGATTCAGACTGAAGCTAATGAACTTCAGCTCTGTGGTCCCCTACTTACTTGGGCTGCTTCCAAGACTTTGTTACCTAATTCAAACTTGTAATTTTGTATTATTTTTCTTAAAGAGGGCCTCCAAAATGATATTATTTTAGGTTTCCACAAAGCAAGCCTGGATCCACCCCTTCTGAGGCTATGCCTTTTGGGTGGATGCTTGGATGCACTGGCTCTTGGATGTGACCAGTCTTGGCCTCCCTCTCCCTAAGAGCTCTGGGCCATAGCATCTAATTTCCTCTTTTTAACAAAATGCGARGTTTCTCTGCCTGGACAGACAAATCCGAGCCCAGCATACTCTTCACTTCCTTTCATTGTAATTTGGGCATGTTAATATTTTTTTTCTTCCATTTCCTTTCTTAGAACAGAAAAAGTGATTGCTAGTCAATGTAACATAAATATAATTAGGCCAGGCTCAGAAGCTCATGACTCAGCACAAAGATTCTACATTTGAAAACAGTATTTAACTTTAGTGTGTTGGACTGTTACTACTTCAGGATGACTGCCACAGAGACATGTACGCACCTCACCATTTATGACATCACAAAACCAAGGTCTGGCTAATTTGCATGTGTTAAGATTCTTGTTGTTCTCTCTACTGCATAAAACCACATTAATTAGATATAAAGAGAAGCCATGGTCTTGACACACCWAAGTTGTAGGCAGAAATTCATTGTTTTGTGAATGTGCTGTAGATTAGAGGTGGATGAAATGAGGGGCAAAATGCTGGGCCAGAGCAGGTTGTATACTACACTCCTTCTCTAATGCCCAAGCTGGGGCTAAGAGATCCAGTCTTATCCTTAATCCAATTATCCTTACTGGTATCTTCTTGTTTACCTTTCCTGATAGTGGTTTCTCTGTCCCTTTCCCAGGAGCCATATTTCTGACCCCATGGACTCCTTTTTGTTATTCAATAGACAAAAGTGGAATTTTGGAGTGGAATTTAAGTGATTCTGCTGTTACTGGCTCTGATGGACATGGCCTTGTTCTCGGCTCCTGTATGTTCTGATGCACAGGGCTCTCCTGTAATTTATCACATGGTTTTGTCTGTTACCCTCATTTGACTTTAAAATTGCTTGATACAGTAGCAGTCATGTTTTATTCATTGTTGTTCTGCAGAGCTTAGCACTGTTTTAACACTCTGGAATAAATAAATGAGGTTTATAATGCCAAGGTATTATAAATAATTAGGAAGCCTATGGGTGAATGAAGAAGCATGTCCAGATATCCTTCTGTTGCTAAAGCAGACAGGATTCAGCTGATTCACGTGCAAAAGAGTTAAGGGGAAGCTAAAAAAGGTCTATAGGTCCATAGACACACCCTAAGCCTTTCTACACAGATGTACCAAGAGTTTCATCAAACTGMTTCTCTGCCAATACATTTCCTCCCACCTGTGGGAACATTCCTCTTTTCTATGAGCAGAGCTCAGAAAACAGCAATGATCTCATGAACTAGTATTATCTTTAGTTCACAGAGATCAGGAGACAGTGTTCAAAAGTCGGTGACCAAAAAAAAAAAAAAACAAAAAAAACAAAAAAAAACCATCAGTGACAGATTGGAAATGTTATGTCTTTTTCCAAACTGGGTGATTCCCTACTGATTAGACCCCTCTGGATGAGGCATCTAGAACATTCTGAGATTTTGCTGCTTTAATTACAATTTTTACTTCAGTGTGGGACATTTGACTTTTTTTTCAATATTTATTTTTTTGTAGTTGGACACAATGCTTTTATTTTTATGTGGTGCTGAGGATTGAACTCAGGGTCTCCCACGAGCTAGGTGAGCGCTCTACCGCTGAGCCACAACCCCAGTCCTACATTTGACTAATTTACTGATGAAATTAAGGTCTTCCTATGGGATACTTTCCAGAAGGGAAGGGAAGAAGGGCCACCAAAATGCCCTGGCTGAGGACTCTCCAAATGTTCAGGACAGGATTCAGCTCTGGCTTCTCAACTTCAGACTAATGATTCTCCACGGTGCCCTAGTGTAAAGGCCCACCAGAACTCCAAGTGATCCAACAACAAATGTCTCCCTAGTCTTCCGAACGGGGTGCCCAGGGCTGGGAACACCTCCACTCCCGTTCAGCGGGGAGGACCAAAGGAAGGCTTTGTGGGGCCTCTCTTTGGCCTGTCCCTTTCCGCTTTTTAATGGAATTGTTTGAGGGCTTTTGCTAATGCAGTCATTTCCAGGAGAGGAAGCCGCCTTTCTTCCATACCCTAGYAGCTGGAGTGAATCAGAGGGGGCAGCCACATCTGCACATCCTGTGGGGCAATCGCTCACGCGCGGGTGACGGCGCCAGCAGGGCCGTCTGGGGACTCTTGGGGACCGCGGGGTGGGGATGAGCCAGAGGGGTGCTCAGGGCGCGGCTGCCCACGGGCCGAGCTGGGCGGCCCCGTTTCCATTTCCGCGTGCGCCCCCCTCGTCCCGCCTTTTCCTGTTCTCTCCCCGCTCCCTCCCCCGTCAGTCTGTCGCGGTCCCGAGCTCAGCCTGCGTCCCAACCCGTTCCCTCCGCCCCACCCGAGCTCGAGTGCCGCTCCGAGCGTTTACGACGGCGCCCCGGTTGCCTAGCAGCGGGCGCGCGTTGCCAGGCGACGTGTTTTGAATTGTTCGTCCCGGCCCCGCCCCAGCGACTTCCGACCGTTTCGGCTTCAGGGCTGGGGGGAGGGGCGGGGAGCCGGGCCGGGGCCTCCTCAGGGCTGGAGCCGGGCGGGGCGGCGGGGCGGCCTAGTGGCTGCCTGGCTCGGGCTCCTGGAGCGAGGGAAGAGCCTGGCTCGTGACATAAAGTCCTCGCACCTGTGGGCCACCAGTGAGGAGCGCTCCTCACCGTGGGGCATTTCCCGGCCCCCGACCTTCCTCGCCCCTAACAATGAAGGTCCCTGCCCGTGTGGCCTCCTTAGGTAGATCCTAGCGGGGAGCTTGGGGACCATGGGGACCACCAGCCCCTCAGCGGATCCGAGTTCTTGTCCCTACTCCCCGCCCCAGGGCTGTGCTGGGGATTTTGGCCCACCCCTAGCCCCCAGGCCTCCTCCGCAGTTCTACCCTGGAGAGGGAGAGGTGGAGGGAAGCGGAGCCCTGGGAAGTTGGCTGGCACCTAGGGTCTTCACGAGCCKCTTCAGTCCTCCCACCCAGTCGCCAAGAGAGGTGGCACCTCCCTACTACAMGCTCCTACAAGCGAGGGCTCAGATTCAGGGCGTTTGACTTGCTCAAGGCCCCAAAGCTTGGCCCCAAAGCTTATAAATGGTGGAGTCAGTATTCAGAACCTCTTAACACCGTGTCCCTGACTCATCACCCGCTTAGTCACCTTTAACAAAATTCACAGATTGCCGGCCAGATTGTGGGAACTCCTACAGAATGAGGCTGCAGGTTAAGTGTACTATACTTTATACTTCTGAGGTGTATGTTAGCAAACAGACTCTCCCTTACTCCCCTCCGTCTCTCCTAGAAAACTGATGATGAAAAACGATAAAGTCAAGCCATTACTGGCTTTCATTTTCACATCTACTTGAGGGTACTCCTATTTATGGTCTATTTACTTTGGGCTGCTTTTGAATTGGGGAAGCTGTCCAAAGCCTGCTCTCTGATGGCATTTCAGAACTTACTGTGTCTCTTCCTGGCCATCCCAGAGACCCAGAAGCGACTCTTACTAGGTTTTCCTTTCTTTCCGAGCATTTCCCGTGCGATACATTGTTTCCTGTGTGTGTGTTTTAGTTTCTTGACTAATCAGAAGCTTCATTTTTTCTTTCATGAGAAAGGTCAGATATTAAAGAATGAACACCCTTTGCTTTTTTAGTAACACTTGGAGCTGAAAGCTGGCTATCCCAGGTTTGAAGGGAAGCTAGTCATTTCCACATGTGGCTCCAACCCCAAACAGGGCAAGATCTATCTGTTGTGAGGGTCTTCCTAGGTCTGGAAGAATGGTTGATGACTCTCCAGATTCAAGCCCAGAAAGAACCGGGGCTATGCTTCCCTCCCCATTTCCAGATCCCAACTGGCTTGGGGATCCTCGCCATTCAGCACAGAAATTCATGCCTCCTCTTTCAATTCCCTAGAGTGATATACACACATCTCCATTGTTGCCACCACCACTAAGCCATCACTGGGGACCAGTTTTTTTTTTTTTAATATATATATTTTTTAGTTGTTGATGGACCTTTATTTTATTCATTTATTTATATGTGGTATTGAGAATCCAACCCAGTGCCTCATACATATGAGGCAAGCGCTCCACCACTGAGCCAAGACCAGATTTTGGCAATACAAATCATAGATGGAAGGAAAAGGGAAAAGGTATAGCTAAGAACTAAGGAACCCCTGGGAACAGAGAGTAAAAGGAAGATGAAGAGGCAAAGGAAGAATAAAAGGAAATGGAAAACCAAGAGACAAAGGTATGAATATACTAGTCTTATCAATAGAAATTAGTTTGACTACCAAATTTTCATTCTAATTTTTATAATCCTACAATGTGTTTGTAAGCTCCTACTTGGGAACTTGTAAAAATAAATTAAATTGATAAGTTGGTATACACTGTATTATGAGTCCAACATTAAGAATATTTCTCTTTTTGAAACTTCAGAAAGTAGTGTACTTACCTCCTGGGTGAGACAAACATTTTGAATCAATTGAGAGGGACTGTTCATTCACTGTTGTAGTTCAAAGGCAGAGAAGTTTCAGTTTCTCTTCTGAGGGGTCTTAATCAGTTGAGTAGAATGAGTGTTGAGTGAGAGGATGAATCAGATCCCCTCTTGCCAGCAGAGGGGTGAGATGGTGTGTGTGGTGGGTTTGAGAGCATGGGAATGATGTCCTGAAGGTGAGTTACTAGCTTGGGTGGGGCGGTGTGACCTATGGTATATTCTATGATGTCATAGTGGCAGGCAGGAACCTCCCTGCTGCCCCCACTCCCCCTCCCCTCACCCCCAGAAGGGCCAGGATGTGGAGGGACACTAGGTACCTATCAAAGGTCTCTGAAGGCCTTCTGAAATTGCTAGATCAGTACTTCTCTCACTGTGCATAAGGATTGCCTGGGGAGCTTGTTCAAGTGTAGATGCCAAAGGGTTGGGAAGTCTCCCAGTTGATAACATCAGGCCACACTGATTTGTAGGGCTTTAGACTAGTGCTGTCAAAAGAGAAATACATTGTGAACCACATATGCCATTTAGTTTTCTTATAGCCACATTAAAAAAAATAAAATGGACAAACATACTGCACTACAACAATGAAATCTTACACAGTGCTATGGTTCAAGTAGGATAGATCCCTCCCTAAACAATAAAGTAGGGTTCAATTGAAAAAATACATGATTTCCTTTTTAAAATTTAAATTTAAACAAATTCTAGTTAAATAAAATTAGAAATTCAGTTCCTCAGTCACACCATCCACATCATAAGGACTCAGTGGCCACGTGTGGCTAGTAGCTACTCTATTCAACAGCAGGACTCTGGATCATTTGCTGTGAAGATAATGATGTACAGAGTTTGCCCTTTTAAAGGATTTTATATACTTGGATGTGGGAACATAGGAGACATTCATTAGCATAATTTTGATGAATGCATAACTTTCTGAGATTTCAAGAGAGGATTTTTGATGACTCTACTATTCTGAGAGTCTGAATGGGTGTCTTCTGCCCTGTGAAACATTTCACACTCAGTCTACCTCTGAACCTTTATTAGGCACTCCCTTTCCCAAACCCCCATTTGGGTTTCTTCCTTTTCTTTGCCATCACATCTAAATCCTACACAACCTTCAGGGCATATGACTCCAGTCTCAATATCCTGTTATCCTAGCCCTATCACTGTCTCTTTCCTCTGAACTCCCATGGGCATGTCTGGGCTGGCTGTACAATGGGAGCTTCTTTAAGTGGGGTCTTGAACTCTTTGTTTGCTTTGGGTATGTTACTCTTAAATTCTAAGCTGCTTGAGGACAGAGCCTACTTCACTTCTATGGTGGGTAGTACAGTGTGGAGAAGATAATACTTGCTTAATAAATATTGATTGTTTTATTAAATTACCTAAGATACCTAAGTAAATGTCTGAAAACATCAGATTTAAAGTGTTGATAACTTGAATAAAAGGAATAATGAGTCCTCTTCTTGGCAAATCTCAACTTGATCAAGATGTCAGTTCTCCATAAATTCATTTATAAATTTAATGTAATCCTAATATGAATACCAAAGAGCATTTTTTTTTTTTTAACTAGAGATTGAACCCAGGGGACTTAACCACTGAGCCATATTCTCAGCCCTTTTTTATTTTGAGAAAGGGTCTCGGGCTGGGGATGTGGCTCAAGCGGTAGCGCGCTCGCCTGGCATGCGTGCGGCCCGGGTTCGATCCTCAGCACCACATACCAACAAAGATGTTGTGTCCGCCGAGAACTAAAAAACAAACAAACAAACAAAAAAACAAAAACAACTAAAAAAAAAGAGAAAGGGTCTYATTAAGTTGCTTGGGACCTTACTCAGTTGTTGAGGCTGGCTTTGAACTTGTGATCCCCCTGCCTCAGCCTTCAGAGCTGCTAGGATTATAGGTGTGAGCCACTGTGCCTCCCAGGAGCATTTTTTAAAAAAGTCTATGATTAGTTGATGTTTAAGTTATTATTTTTTTTTTTTTGAAAAATCCTTGATATTAGCCAGGAAAACGACAAAAAGGAAGAGCTCTAAGGTAGGACTAACCCTCACTGATATACTATAAAGCCTATAGGATTAAACCATGTGACCTTGGAGCATAACTAGACAGACCAAAGGAATAGAAGAGGTAAAGAAATAAACACAGCCATGTATGGACCTCCAGTATAAGATGAAGGTGATTCCTGTAATCCTCGGGGTAATAATGATCTTTTAAACAAACATTATTGGGTCAAACTGAATAGCCATTTGGGAAAATTATTATAGAGTTCATTTTTTTAAAATATCAGATATAAGAAAACTCCAAATGGATTAGACAGCCAAACTTAAAAATGACATTATACAAGTACTCAAAGAAAGCATAGGTAAATTCCTCTACAAGATAAATTGTAAAGAAAGGCTTTTTAATCATAGTTAAAAATCCGAGTACTTGATAAGAAAAAAGATTTGATGAATTTGATTCCATAAAACAAAAACAAATCCAACCAAACATTTGAATGACAAAATCACCATAAATAAAATTAAAAATGACAAGCTTGAAGGAGATATTTATAATCTATATCATAGATAAAGGCTAATATCCCTATTATATGAAGAACTTTAAAAAATTAAGAATATTCCTATTATATAAAGAACTTTAAAAAATTAAAAAGAAATAAAGATAAAACTTCTTATAAAAATGGGAAAAATTCAGGAACAGACAATTYATAAAAAGAGACATCAGAATGTCCTTAAACATGTGAAAAGCTATTTGATTTCACTTACAATAAGTGTAATGCAGAGTTAAACTACCATCACTTATCTGTCAGATTGGCAAAATTAAACAGCTTGGCAACATGCTCTGCTGATGAGACTGTGGGGAATCAATTGCTCTCACGCTTTTGGAGGGAATGAAAAATGGCACAGCCCTGTGGAGAAGAATTTGGCACTAACAAAACTTCATGTGGATTTCTCTCTTRACCCGGAAGTCACAGTTTTAGGGATTTATCCTGAAAGTATACCTCCCATAATATTAGAATGGTGTGCATGAAATCATTCATTACAACAGTATATAAAATTGTATAACATTTAAAACTACCTAAATATCAAAGCAACAAAACACTAATCAACAACAGAGAGAGAGAGAGAGAGAGAGGGGCGGGGGGGGGGGCGGGGAAGAGGAGGTGGCGGCTGGGGGTGGGGTGGGGTGGGGATGGGTGGGTGGGATTTCTATGAATTGATATGGAATGATTTCCAGGAAATGTTAAATAAAAAAAAAATTCCAAGGCAGAAAAGGATATAGTATACCATCTTTTGTGAAAGAAATAAGGGGAAACAAAACATGTCTGCTTATTGTTACCCAAAGAAACACAGGAAGGATAAGCCAGAAAATAATGGAGTTGATTATTTACTGCAGGGAGGGAATGGAAATAATTTTGGAGGKAGTGACATTCTCTAAGATTTTTTTTTTTTTGGTATAGTTTTGACTTTTAGAAGCGTGCTGGTGTTTTACATATTTGAAAATAAAATTAAAACAAGATGGGAAGGAAAAGAAAAACCTAAAACTGTAAACAAACTGAAACAAATGAATTCAATTGTATTTCGCATGAATACTATAACCACACCAAAGGGGGATGAGCAAAAATCCAGGGAACTCAGGAACACAGTGTTCAACTATCCGCAGTCAGTTTAGTGAGGTTGAAGGGGAGAATTGCAACAAACTCCAAAACTCCTTTTAATGTAAATACCTAATTCATTTTGTGGTAGATGTGTGTATTATTTAGCTTTTTGTCACTCTGACAAATACCTGAGTAAAATGACTTAAAAGGAGGAAAGATTTATTTTTATCAACAACTTCAGAATTTCAGCTCCATTGCTTTGTGTGGTGAGTTGAGGCAGAGCATCCTGGCAGAAGGGCCTGGTGGAGAAAAGCTGTTCAACTAGCTGCAGCAAAGAATCTGAAAGACAGGAAGGGGCCAGGAACAAATATAGTTCCCAAAGGCACACCCCCAAGAACTGTTCCCTTCAATTATATTTCACCTCCCTCAGTTTCTACCAGTCTATTCAGATTATGGATTCATCAATGGATTAACTTACTGATGAAGTTAGCATCCTCATGAGCCAATCATTTTCCAAAAGCCCCACTTCTGAACATTGTTGCTTTGGGGACCCAATCTTCAACACATGGGCCTTGGAGGGACATTCCAGTGCTAGCTATGCTGATGCATGAAGCAATTGTGAAGCTGTCTTAAATGTATCTAGAATTTGGGCATATGAGGAAACATGTTTGTTAATCCTGTTGGGAACAAGTTCTCATTATAGAGTTCTCATTCCATCAAAAATATTGGAACAGAGGAAAGCAAAAAGGAATCCTATGGGATTAATTGGAACTAGAGGCATCAGTCCATGATTTCTTTTCTGTATAAATATGTGTCAGGGTTTTCTAGAGGAACAGAACCAGTAGTGTGCATATGCGCGCGCGCGCGTGCGCGCGAGCGCGCACACACACACACACACACACACACACAATTATAAAAAGGGGTTTATTAGATTGGCTTTACATGAATGGGGGTTGGATAGTCCCACAATAGTAGTCTGCAAGCTGAAGAGCTGGAGAAACCAGTGACTACTAAGCCCAGGAATCTGAAAGCCTCAGAACAAGAGGGAACAATGATATAGCCTCCATTTGAGGCTGAAGGCCAGGAAGCTCCCTGGAGAATTGCTGGTGTGAGTCCCTGTTCCTAGGCTGAAGAAGCTAGATTCTCATGTCTATGGGGAATAGTAGCAGCCAAAGTGCCCTGTTCAAGAATTGAGCTGGACTGTAGACAGGCTTCCTCTTCCTCCTCCTCCCCATTCCCCCGACTTCTTATTCTTCTTCCACTTTTTGTTCCCTCTGGGCTCCCAGCCTATTGAATGTTGCCACCATATTCAGGGCAGATCTTCCCCTATCAGTTTGCTGACCCACATGCCCATCATCTCTGGAAACACCATCACAGTCTGTTTCAGTCAGCTGTTTTTGCTATTGTGACTAAAAGACTCGGCCAGAACAATTTTAGGGGAGGAAGAGTTTATTTGGGGGCTCATTCCATAAACAGCCAACTGCATTCCTTGGGGCTTGAGGTGAGGCCGAACATCATGGCAGAAGAGTACAGCAGAGGGAGGCAGCTCA